TATTTATTTTGCACTAGAGGGTCTTACAGTAAAGCTAAAGTGAGATAGAAGTAGCTAAACCAATCAAGATCGCAACTTCGCCTGCACTTTTCGCCTACCTGTTGCGGAAATTGTCCGCAAATTTTTATGAGTTCAAAACTTTGTGAACACCTCTATCGGACCATGCTTAGCACAGATCTTTATTTGAATTGTTCGTCAGATTATGATGTTACAAAATCGCCTTCTCATGAATTGTCTTTCAAATTCGAAAGTCGTGTTGGCAGATATTCTATCCTACAATGTGTCACTAGCAGCAAAACAATGTAAGAAATGTTGTTAGCACGTCGAATACAATACCGCTCACAGAATGTGCAAAATTTCCGTAAATGTCGCGAAATTCCGAAAATGTCGCGAAATTCCGAAAATTCCGCGAAATTTCCGGAATTTCGCGAAACTTCGCGACATTCCCGGAATTTCGCGAAATTCCGGAAAGTCCGCGGAAATTTCGGAATTTCGCGACATTCACGGAAATTTTGCACGTTATGAGAGTGGTATTGTACAATCACACAATTGTTGTCTTTATCCTCCATTGATTGAGGCTTTGAAAAAATGCTAAAAATTGGGTTGTAAAAGTTCTCAAGTTACTTTCTTTGTGACAAGCAGCATGTACTCAATTTCAGGTAGGTGTCATAGTACAAACTATAACTTTACGTACCTCAAGTTGTAATTCTGTGCTTTTCTCTTCCCACTCCCCCACATTACACCCTAGTAGTGTAATTGTAGCTTCTCAAAAATTTCTTCGTTTATCAACTGTTCATGAATCGAAAATGTGCCAAGCTTTTGGAAAGACTTCGCTATCAGGTATTTTTTTATTTTGTTTCAGATTTTTTGTTTGAAAAAATTTTTTCTATTTATGCAACTTTGCAACATTTGTGGCATTCGGTAGAGTACATAGAGGCAATAAGTAAAGGTTAGATTAGCGGATAATTTATGCTTTGTTTTTCTTAACCCATTAAAGACGACGCCTAATTCTACGTGGCGGTGCACAACACTTTCGGTGTGGGAAGGTTTTGTGGTTATTTACGAAATGCAAGGTTGTTTTGTAAACCAATAAATAAACATTTTCTTGAACAACGGACACTACAGGTCCCAACAGTGCGAAAAATTTGAAAAGACATCAATATGTGAAAAAATACTAGACTTAAAAAATAATGTGACTTTGCAAGAGGTGTGGGCCACCGGTGGTGCATATCGTCTGTGGCGGTAAAAAGCGCGTGGGCCACCGGTGGTCCACAATCTTCAATGGGATAAATCTTGAATGCATTATTGCATGTCTGAAGCATTTTATGGATTTGAACCATATGCAGGCGAAGAGAAATTTTTGAAGAATTTTGATTTTTTCGGCATTTTTTTCATCATTCCCTCCCATTTATTTGAAACGCTAGAGGCATCTGCTGCCATAGGAGTGATAGTGTCGAATTACATTCTATTCTAAATACAGGGAGACGGTAAAGAGAAAAACGGGATTCAAATTCAAGTGTGTTTACAAAACTATCGTGAACTTGTTGGTTTTTTGTGCATTTGCGGCATAAGTTATGTTGAAGGTGGATGTGTGCCAGAACTTATCCGCTAACTTAATCAGGGCTCGGCACGAGGTGGCTAGATGAAAATGCAAAAAACGAAGTCCCCTTGAATTTTGCGAATTTTCACGAAGTTCCGTTTGTCCCTAGACCGTAATCCCTAAAAAAAATCTCCAAAAAACGAAACGTCGACGTAAAAAAAAGTCGCAATTTTGTGTCTTTTCGGCCGCAAAAACGAAAGTCCCTTTGCTCTTTGTCCCAAAAACGATATCCAGCTTGCTTGTAAGTCATCTGTGCCGAGCCCTGTATTTAATAAATAAAAGTCGTAGAGTGGCGAATTACATTCATCATTATTGACTAATTTTTAGCATTTCGACTTCTTTTAAAAATACCCAGAAACAGTAAGAAACCTAAGAAAAAATTTTTCCCATGATGAGATGCACTTCACTTATCTGAAATCCATAGCTGCATTATACATTTGCACATTCATAAGAAACTCATTCTATGACGTGACTTGGTCTTTTCAATGCTCTGCATTAGCTTGCCCATTGTTTGCAAAAATGATACTCCTTACTAAAGTCTAAAAAGTAAAGGGTAAGCATATTCGTCCTTTTTTCCCTTAGTGATGGTGCTCTAAAAATACAAGCTGCTAGAAAACTTACTTTTGGAAATTTGGATAAGATCTTGAACTTTTTCAATTGAATCATACGCTGAATTACCGTTGATTCTTCTGTAATTTATAACGATGTGCGTAATGCACACCATGCGCGTTACCTGACGGCTTTTAAAGTCTTAAATTGCTCATTTCTAATGATTTGTACCTCCCTTCCTTGCTCACTTGTGTATTGATCTGATATGTATCACTTGGTAGTACATATTTCTACACATTATGGTTCAAAAGATTTTGAAGAGTTAGTAGTAAGGGTGCGTCAGTTGCCCAGCGCAGTGTGCAGGTTCACATATTGAGCTACAAATGACCCGAGGGTTCATACTTTCCACTTCTTGTAGTCAAATATCACTTGATGTTATCATATGACATGGGGTTCATGTGCCCTTGATTGCTCTGTAGCATATATTACACCATCTATTCATCTGCGTTTGCAAACCTTGATAAAAAATTTTTCAAGCATAATAGCGTCCGCCAATCTGGGTTCTTGACTATAATGTGGAAACGATTGATAGGCGCTAACTAATCCATGACAGCTTAGATGAATTCATGGCCCGGAATACAACTTCAGATTCTTGCCCATACCGTACCTGCCCTCTAATAATACGGCACTGGGAATACTGGGCATACTTGTAAAATCTTTGTTTAACGTTGGTGAATATGAGCTGCTACTTGGGCATCGGCCTGAAGGTCCTTCTTTAATAGTTTCCACAGAGAAAATCTTGGTGCTGATTTTTTGGTCACTACCTCTGAGTGTCGTATAAACCTTTGATCATTCTTATACAATAGATTGACAATAGATTGTGATAATTTTTACAGATCAGCGAACGCCAACTTTGCCTTTTGCAATAATTTTCTCGGAAATGAAATTGTGAATCATAAAACGAATCCAAATTCAGCCCACCGAGACGAATTTTCCGGCATAAATCACCGTAGTCCGCCCCGTATGTTTACGGTGATATACGACTACTGTACAATACCGTATACAGAATGTGCAACTTCCCGTAAGTGTAGCAAAATTTCGGGAATTACCGACATTCACGGAAATTCTGCATGTTCAGCGAGCAGTAATGTATATGGAGGTGTGTTTGCCTATTCAGGCAAAGTTGGCGAATTCGCACAAAATCAAATATTTTCCCATTCTAGAGTCGTAACTGTATGACAGTACACCTGATTTTAGCTGATTTTTTTGCTCATGCTCCTCTATAACTTAAGGCGGTGATGAGGTGAGAGGGACGCTCAGTCAGTTACAATAGTAGTTTCGTTATAGTACTAATGGTAATGGTACTTAAACTACCATTTTCCTACAGGGTCTTTATATGCTTCTTACTAACAATAAGATCACTCTCCATATCTGCTAAATGGTTTTTCGTGTGTAGGCGCTTATTTGCTCTTAATTAGGTAGTCAACTTTCCCTTGTGTTCTTAATGTCCTAGATAAATGCAAAAGTGCTCATAGATGTTGTCCATTGTTTGAGGTGTATTGCCCAATGTGAGAAAGTTAGCTGTAAAGGGCTTCGAGCTACATACACGGCCATTCTTTGGCCTAAAATCTACAGTTACACTTCGGCGAATTTTGACAACGTGCGAGTATCCAAGGCGTTTGAAGTTTGCATGTCATCCTACTAGCATTTTTTCACAGTTTTATTACTTCATTCCATTATCCAGAAGTAGGGCGCAATTATCTGTCCGTTTACGAAATTTTGCCCATTGTTTTCCTCTTCTCTAAAACTCGTTTCACGCGGGTCATAGAGTCAAAGAAGGTAAAGTCTAGGTCATGTTCTGACATCCTGCAAGAAATAAAAATTTTGTTCCAAATTTTGGTCAAAAATGCTTTGTAGGTCTATGTGATTAGCTATTACTGCAGAAGAGTAAACTCTGATTAGCATATCTTCTTTTCTAAAAAAAATGATGAGCCTTAAAGGAATTCTACTTAATTTTATTTTCTTGGTAAAACTTATATAAGTGTTGAAATCTAGTGACAATATGCTGGAATTTTGCTAGGCTGAAATGCCATGAAATCCCATATAAAGAACTTTCTTTGATTTGCCTACTAGCAAGAAACTTTAAGTTGAAACAAAATAATTTATTTCATTTTCTACAAACTCTATACTTTAACTCTTATGTACTTAACACTTTTAGCTCTTTTACTCTTTTACTTGATTTATACTTTAACTCCTCAGTCCATTGATATCAAAACAAAAATAGCTAAACCGATTTGTCATGCGCAAAATTTAAACAATTCAAATTCGAAATCATCTCGCCATTCTTTCGAAAGAGTGATTGAATGAATCGAGTAGTTTTTAACCGAACTGTCCGATCAAAACAACGTGTTATGCGAGTCCACCCACGATGGATTTGCATTGAAATGAATGTGTCACGGAACAGGCTCCTATCATTCGACCACAATATCAAAATCCATATTTTTGTACGAATCTAGCATTCAACAGAGTTTTGGCTGCGCTAACGCAGCCGCTTCACTGCAATCATTCTGATGCTATGTAAGCTTAAGGTATCTATGTTTTTCAGAATTCACAGATGTATACTATATGTGTTATTTATCGAATACTCTTGAAAATACGATATGATGAAGGTATAAAAAATTGCGGCAAAACAGCAGTCTGTGACTGAAACACTGTGATAACAAAATTTGAAAAATTATGATTTTACTGGTTGGGAAGTGTCTGTTCAAAAGAAACTTTTTGAAACTTTGAAGCAATAGAGAGTAGCATGAAAATAGTTGTGCTCTCCATTCTCTAAATGTTGTACTTTCAGGACAAAATGGCCCTCAGGAAAAATTCGGAGGGGCAAAGATTACGAGGACGAGAACCGACCCGTTCAGCATCGGCCCCTCCCCGGAAACGATGGTTCCACAAATGTGAGCCAATTTTTTCAGTTCTTTCTTGATTGATTTTCACGGAATTTAAGGAATGGGAGAACATCTCATTTTCACAATATCGTGATTCTGACCGATATTTTACTCACCCTTCTTCTCCTATATTTTTTCTCGCGCTCCTTTTTCGCCGAAAATCACCAAGGTTTTTTTCTCCCGATTACTACCGATCCGTGTGGTTCGTTACAATACCACCCGTAATTTGTGAAAAAAAATGGCGGCGGCACTTAACTTACGCGGCGCCGCCGAAGTTAGGTGACTTTTGCCGCGTCGCGCGGCAAAAGTCGGCGGAAAAGCGGCCAAAGTCACCTAACTTTGTCGCGCAACGCCTAACTTTTTATAAAAAAAGACCTTATCTTGATTCAAAATTTATGAATTCTATATCTAAGAGTACCATTCAACTCAGCTCGGCGAGGCGCATCTTCCAGTATACGGATGTGCCTAGTTGTGGGATATAAGTTTCTTTCCTGAAATTTTAGTTTAAATGGACCATTCAGTGTGCTTATTCCAGGGGCTACGTACACATTCTATTGAGCACAGCAGAAATAGGGCAGGTATAGTTTAAGAGCTCATTCTGCATGGATATATGTGAAACTGGGCAGCTCATTCTGCATGGATATGTGTGAAAGTGGGCTTTTCTCGGCGAAGTATGACGGGTCCCAAAATGCAGGAAGACAAAGGGAAATGGTTGGAAATCGCATGAGAAGCACATATCGCGGAATGCCGCGCGTGCTGTGCAATGTACAATACCACTCACAGAACAGGAATTTCGTGAAATTCCAGAAATTTCGCGATTCCGAAATATCGCAAATTATGCAGCGCCATAACTTCCTTCGGAATGAATATATTCTAAATCCGAAAGCAGCGTTGTGTTCAGCTCGTCAAGGCGAATCTTTTGACACACGTCATGTCATCCATATCTTGTTTCCAGTTTTCTCAAATTTTTCTGAGGAGGTCCCTTTGCAAGTATGTAACGCAGCGCCTATCCAACTTGAAAGCTTCCAGTAAGCACCATTCGATAGTGCTCTTCTTGTGCATTATAGTGCGCTAGTAGGCTGCCGCAGACTTCTTTTCAAAAGAGAAAAAAGCGTTGGTAAATTCTGGAAAAATCACTCGTTTCCAGATTCTACTCGCCGTAACTTTCTTTGGAGTGGATATTTTCTGAATCCGAAAAACGCATTGTGCTCAGCTCATCAAGGCAAATCTTTCGGTATGCAGAATGTCCTTGATATCTCGATTTCAGTATTCTCAAAACTTTCTGCGGACGTCTCTTCGCAAAGGTGTGAAGCAGCGCGTATTGCCCCCAGTACATTCAGAAAGAAATTTTCAATAGTACTTCTTTTGTAGATTATGGAGCGCTAGAAAGTAGCCGCACACTCCTTTTCAAAGGAGTTAGAAGGGCTGGTGAATTCTGGAAAAATCATGTCCTTCTAAATTTTTCTCAACGTAACTCTAAAATATGAAGCTCTCTTGCTAAGCAGATGTGATTTTCGTAACCAGCAGGTCGGATAACCACTATGAGCAAGTTTTCCGAGATTTTCGGGTCATTTCATTTTTTCTCGTTTTACGCTCTGGAAGCTCGCCGATGGATTTTGGTCAAAATGTTGATGCTCCTGGATTGTAAGGAAACTTCGCTTATAGAGGTTTTCGAACACGCTCTTTACGAAAATCGTGGTCTTTGAGGATTGCAGGGTCTTTTTGGTGAGATACGGTGAGGTGACTGTAACTGCATCACGAAAGTGCGTAAATTGGCCCGCACTTCTCGTGTATCTGTCAGCAACCTTGCCTGCTTGCTTTTCTCAGCCAAAGTTACTAGGAACTGCGCTACCGAATGGTGCATGAACCAGGCTCTAGTCTGTAAAAATCACCGAGTTACGAGCCTATGAAAACACGTTCTCATGAATTTTGCCCAAATTGTAAAGATCGCAAATCTCGTCGAAATTCCACCGTGAGCGCTTGTATGACACTCGCATTGCGGATATTGTGTTCGCTTCGCCCAAAAACTCCCACTGTATTGAATATGGTACTTGCATATGCTTCAGCTGCTCAGTTGAATATCAGAGCTATTTCAGTGGCTAGAACTCAAACTACTAAATCTAACACAATAGGATCCATTAAGGACGCGAAAGATTTTGATCAGCGTGTTGTACAAGCGCTCACGGTGGAATTTCGACGAGATTTGCGATCTTTACAATTTGGGCAAAATTCATGAGAACGTGTTTTCATAGGCTCGTAACTCGGTGATTTTTACAGACTAGAGCCTGATTCATGCACCATTCGGTAGCGCAGTTCCTGGTAACTTTGGCTGAGAAAAGCAAGCAGGCAAGGTTGCTGACAGATACACGAGAAGTGCGGGCCAATTTACGCACTTTCGTGATGCAGTTACAGTCACCTCACCGTATCTCACCAAAAAGACCCTGCAATCCTCAAAGACCACGATTTTCGTAAAGAGCGTGTTCGAAAACCTCTATAAGCGAAGTTTCCTTACAATCCAGGAGCATCAACATTTTGACCAAAATCCATCGGCGAGCTTCCAGAGCGTAAAACGAGAAAAAATGAAATGACCCGAAAATCTCGGAAAACTTGCTCATAGTGGTTATCCGACCTGCTGGTTACGAAAATCACATCTGCTTAGCAAGAGAGCTTCATATTTTAGAGTTACGTTGAGAAAAATTTAGAAGGACATGATTTTTCCAGAATTCACCACCCCTTCTAACTCCTTTGAAAAGGAGTGTGCGGCTACTTTCTAGCGCTCCATAATCTACAAAAGAAGTACTATTGAAAATTTCTTTCTGAATGTACTGGGGGCAATACGCGCTGCTTCACACCTTTGCGAAGAGACGTCCGCAGAAAGTTTTGAGAATACTGAAATCGAGATATCAAGGACATTCTGCATACCGAAAGATTTGCCTTGATGAGCTGAGCACAATGCATTTTTCGGATTCAGAAAATATCCACTCCAAAGAAAGTTACGGCGAGTAGAATCTGGAAACGAGTGATTTTTCCAGAATTTACCAACGCTTTTTTCTCTTTTGAAAAGAAGTCTGCGGCAGCCTACTAGCGCACTATAATGCACAAGAAGAGCACTATCGAATGGTGCTTACTGGAAGCTTTCAAGTTGGATAGGCGCTGCGTTACATACTTGCAAAGGGACCTCCTCAGAAAAATTTGAGAAAACTGGAAACAAGATATGGATGACATGACGTGTGTCAAAAGATTCGCCTTGACGAGCTGAACACAACGCTGCTTTCGGATTTAGAATATATTCATTCCGAAGGAAGTTATGGCGCTGCATAATTTGCGATATTTCGGAATCGCGAAATTTCTGGAATTTCACGAAATTCCTGTTCTGTGAGTGGTATTGTACATTGCACAGCACGCGCGGCATTCCGCGATATGTGCTTCTCATGCGATTTCCAACCATTTCCCTTTGTCTTCCTGCATTTTGGGACCCGTCATACTTCGCCGAGAAAAGCCCACTTTCACACATATCCATGCAGAATGAGCTGCCCAGTTTCACATATATCCATGCAGAATGAGCTCTTAAACTATACCTGCCCTATTTCTGCTGTGCTCAATAGAATGTGTACGTAGCCCCTGGAATAAGCACACTGAATGGTCCATTTAAACTAAAATTTCAGGAAAGAAACTTATATCCCACAACTAGGCACATCCGTATACTGGAAGATGCGCCTCGCCGAGCTGAGTTGAATGGTACTCTTAGATATAGAATTCATAAATTTTGAATCAAGATAAGGTCTTTTTTTATAAAAAGTTAGGCGTTGCGCGACAAAGTTAGGTGACTTTGGCCGCTTTTCCGCCGACTTTTGCCGCGCGACGCGGCAAAAGTCACCTAACTTCGGCGGCGCCGCGTAAGTTAAGTGCCGCCGCCATTTTTTTTCACAAATTACGGGTGGTATTGTATGGTATAACACATATTTGCTGAACTGAAAAATTTTTGCTATTGTCGCAAAGAACTCTGCCAAGTTTTTGAATGAGATCACAGGTGGCTTGCTTACGTAAAATTTGAAGTCGAGCATGTTTCTATACACGGCATTTCTCGCTGTTTACGAAGGCTATCTGGATTTCTCAAAAGCAGTAAGAAGAGTGCGAGATTTCATAGTTTCATCCACAATTTTGCAGAATTTCTAAAAAAAAAGCTAGTCTTCATTTTCATTGTTCTTTTGTTGTTAGAGTGACAGATACTCTTGTTACTCTGTTTTCTTCTCAATCTCAAAAGATTTAGGAGATTCCTAGAAATTTTTCCTTTTCTCATGAAAATTTCTCTGTTTCAATCTATGCATTTTGGAAAATGTTTCGCCGCTTGCTCATTATGATAAGGGTGTGATGTTCCTAAAATCCCATGAATTTAAGTTAAAATTCTTATAAGAGCTTGAAGACCAATTAAATATTAACAACTAGCGGAATCATCCGTTAACTTAGCGTAAGCCACAGTTTCATCAAGCACTTTGTCCAACTGCGATTGTTATTCCATGTTTTTCGATGTATAATTATTTTGAATAACCGGATAAATTGTCATCTTATTTCAGCGTCGCTTGAGAGAGTTCAGTCGCATGAAGCAGTTTGTGACGATGTGACTCGTAAACTCGTTGGTGCCATCACTACATGGCATGACATCCATAGTAATCTTCTCAGACTTAGCATAGGTACGGTAGACACTCATTTGCTTTTTTGTAAATTTTGTGAGAAGTACATTTTCAGACAAATCTTCCTCTGATATCTCAGTCAGCGATCGCTCAACACTTTCCAGTGATTCCCAAGAAAGCCTGAATGGTAAGGTTTTTCACTGTTTTTTCATCACCTGACCGTGAAAGCTTTTGCGCTTTCACGCTGTGACAGTTTTCCACAGCCGTACCACCATTCCCCCCCCCCCCGGAGAGTGGATCGCGAAATTTTAGAGGTAGCTTGCATGGCTTATAAAGTTGTGCGAGTGAATTGCTATCACTTGTAAATAATCACATTTTCAAACATTTTTTGGAATACAAATCAGGGTTGTAGAATTTTTTTTGGGCCCTAAATCCCGTACAGTCGTACTGGAACAACGATGATACCTCAACATAGTTTCAAAAATGCTAGATTTAACTTTGAACAAAAATTTGCGTACATTTTCAGGAAATGTTCACAAACAGGTTGAAGGAGCAAGATTTTCGATTTCGAATCCTGAGCTAACGTCAATGCAAATTCAACAAATGTTTCCGGATCTAAGCGAACATTGGAGGTAAGCAAAATGTTAATTCATTTTTGCGCACTCGAAGCGGTTACACTTTTCGACTTTTCTCGTTAACCCATGATTGTATTTTACACTCAATAAAGGTTACAAATATTATTTTCAGCGTATACAGTTGCTTGTTTTTTGTTTTTTTTTACACCTAGCTTCCCACTCCCTGAGAACCGATATTTCGGATCATTCGCGCGCGATGTTCGCGCCAATGCGCGCGGCTCCGCTCTGAGGTAAACGAGTTACGTCGCTTAGTCAGCGGAGATGATCACTGTGCGAAACATGTATCACATTTCTAACCACTACTCTACTCTCTCTGTCATGTAGTGCAAAAAAGCTACAGACTTATACAAACGTGCATGTGCGCAACTCCACCCATTCGATGGTCCGGCCAATCAGGCCACTCGCTGACCAATCAGAGCGACGTCACTGCAGAATGGTCCAAAAATAGCGAGTTTTCTAAGAAGGCTTGCCTCACTGGTTTCCTTTCACTGCGCAACTTGTTCGAGAGCATTGTAGCATGTGCACGTTTTTATCCATTTTTATCGGGTCCATGGGCGTTAAAGCGGGAAGAGGGAGAAGCAAAGTGGAAAATTTCTGGGTGGCTTTGGACATATTTGTCCAGCTATCAATCAATTTTTTACGTGCTTCCTTAGCTGCTTCCAGAGCTGCCACTGTGCAAGAGCGCTAGCTTCCTGCTGTTGCGACATGGACGCAGCGCATATCGATCGATCGAAATGCCGGCACGACGCTAGCACGGCGCTGGCACGGGTAGCTCTGAACGCAGCCTTAGAACCCGAACACGACATTAGTGCTACTTTAGTGTCGCCAAAATTCGAAGGTATGAAGTTTTGCACAAACGACTAGTGAAGTGAAATTAAAGGGGCATTTGTCCAATCAAAGCCTGGTGTATTTTCTCCTAAAGCTTTGGAGCAGTCGGCTTTTTTTCACTCTTATGGCAGAAGCAGCTCAAGAGGCTTCATAGCTCTTCCCTTGCGCTTTCTTATGCATGTCCATCTCAGCTAGCTCTATCTACTTGAAGTTTCGTGTCATTCCTAAAGAATGTCATTTTGTTTCTAATCAAACAATTTTTGCTCAGCGGACTAGCTGGAAAACAACTTTAGATAGTGTAGGACTAAATATGGCAGAGCAAAAAAATGGGGTATTTGCTTTCGAGTTCAATTTTTTTTCTTAGATTTCAAAGCATATGCTTGGCTATTTATGTGCTGTTGGCCTAATTATAGACATATTCTTGTTTATGCCAATTTTTGAGCAAGACATCTGGTAGGGTGCATTTTCTAGAAGAGTCTCTTTGTTTAACGATTTTTTTCGATTGTGCGCAATTCACAATCATGCTTACACCTCTAACCTGAGTCTGAGCTTCTGTCATTAAGCTTTATCAATATTTATCAACATATTTTGCTCAAACTCCATGATTTGTGAGAGAATGTGTTAGTTAAAACAAATTCGTCATCTTCCAGTTTTCTTTCTTCAGGTGCTTCGCGGACATTAATAATTAATACATTAATAATCTACATTAATAGAATTCTAAGCTATTCCAAGAACTTCAAATTTTCTTTATGATCTGGAATCGTTTCTTCAAACTTCATCTTCTTTTTTTCCATTTCGTATAGTTTTACTATTTGATCCTGCAATTTCTATGGGTTTGATTTGTAAGTGAGTTGCAATACAGTGACAAACATGTAACTCTAACGGTTTCAAGATACATCAACATAAAACACATCTATGAGCTTTTCTATTTTTAGTAAATTATGTTGAATTTTCTCTCAAAATAGATAGATTTACGAGCAGACATCCACATGCGACATCGTTGCCATATATCACTTTTTTGGTGCGACATGTACTTAAGTAATGGAAGTTGCAAAAACAGTTGCTTGGACACAGCTATTTCCAGGGTTTCGTGAGCATACTATGTCAGAATTTCACAAATCTCTAAATATTTAAAAAGCAGTAAACTACAGATCTGGGTAGCTGGACTCCTTTTACCAAAATATTCGGAAAAATCAGTAATTAGCCATTAAGGCGGCAATCTTATGATGCATTCGTAGCCTAGAAGTCCAAATGTAAATCTTTGCCCATACCATATCGTTTCCTCCCGGTGGTACGGTAGAACGTACGGTGTGGGCGAAAGTTGAGAGACGAATTTCTCACCTACGAATGAAGCATACGAGCTGTTGCTAGAGCAATGGCTTAGGCAAAACCTTCTAAACGATTCCCACGTGGAAAACTCAGGTAATTTAGGGCTTAATACGAATACTTTCTGGCTAAGATACTTCCATAAAGATTGTTTCATGTTCTCATCTTAGGATGTACTAGCACCCGGGTAAATTTAAAATTTTGAATTTTACGGTTTACTTGCAAATTTTTATCAAACACAAGTTCAATGAGCTTTCTCCAACTTGATGACGAAATAGCGAATGCAAATGAGTTCAATGAGCGGACTTCCTGACTAGAGTAGCAAATGCCCCTCGATGGATATTACGCATCGCTAATAAGCTCTGCACGATTAGCTAGGATTGTGTGTTGAGGCTTCAAGTATAGATAAGCTGGAATGAGGTATAATCTCGAAAAACCCCTTGCTTTTTAACGTCCAAAAACGTCCATTCCTTCTAGGAAATGAACACAAGACCACGCAAGAGTGGCGGGTTCCTGAGACTTAAGAAATACATAAATTCGTCTTTAGGGATCTGTTGAATTGTGAAAGCTACAACGAATTCAAGTGCCATCTCCTCACGCACGTTTTTATCACAATATTGTTGCTATTCGACAGCGCCTTCTCTTCATAGTTAAAGTTCATTACTTCTGAATTTTCGTTTTGAGCTGATTTAAGCGAAGGAAAACAAACCCGTAATGTACATAAGTTTATTTTTTTTGCAGCAGCATCAAGCGATAGCTAGATCAGTCGTGATCTACACATTCTTGAAAACACTTTTTGAAACACTTCTTTCTGGAGTTTTTACTCTACAAAAATAAAAGTATTCCACTAATATTTTTAATCAAAGAATCAAAGAATCGGATCAAAGTTTCAAAATTGTCTGTTCTTTGCAGAAGAAAATTTTTTATGCCCAAAAAAATTTTGCAACTTGTTTTGTACGGAAATTTGCTTACCATGGTACAAAAAAATAGCGATTTGTAAGTTTTGCATGCGCGTCAGTCTATCTTGTTGCTTCACAAAAGGAATCATTTTATAGTGAAGCTCTTTTTGACAAACTCTTTTTAAAATAAACTTGAACGAATGATCGAACTTAAAGGCAGCGTCCAGGCAAGATCCATCCACCCAGATTAGCACAGTAGTTGTAAAGAGGGGTCCATGAGTATCCGATCTGCATTGGTCCGATCCTTTGACGTGGCCTCTAAAAGGAAATACGGGCTTGTGATACGTATTACAAACCACCCCTTCGTATCACACACCACGCCTGAGGACGAGTGCTCACGCAGGTGTGCAGTTGCATTGCAGTTGCATTGCAGTTGCATTGCACTTGCAATGCAACTGCATCCATGCAGTGCAGCTCCTCAAGCTGGCATACGACGGGGACAAGCAATCCGAAACTCGTCCGCTCTTGAAGAGAGGGTCCCCAGGAATCGGGTTATTTGGGGATTTTGAACAATTTGGACTTCACAACTCTAATCAGGGCCACGGAAAGGCCCCAGAATGGCAGAAACATGAGAGGCAAAATTTTGCCCGGACGCTGCCTTTAAATGGCATGTTAAGTCTAATTTTTCCGTGTTGACACCATCTGTTGGCTTTTATTTTGTCTTTTGCCTTTTCCTATGAATTAGTTTTTTCCCAAAAATGTTAAAATACTTTCATTTTTTGATTTCTTGACTTTAACTTATTTTTGCAGAAAAATCAGGTCGTTTTTTTTGATTATTCGTTTCAATTTATTTTTGAGAGAAAGTTTTGTTGCATTACGAAATGTCTCGAAAAAGTTTGAAGAAAATCGGATTTTTAACTGGTTGTTGCCATATTCAGAGTTTTCCAAAAATAAAATATGCTACGCGTTTCGCATGGGTTATGAGCGATAACAGTTAAAACACAACCAGGTCAAAAAATCAAAAAGAAATCTTTTCCTGCCACATGCTGATATTATGTTAAAAAAGGCTATCTTGTTTACTTTTTCAAACAAAGCTTTTTATTAGTTGGGACCTTTTATGCGGTTGAATCTTAAGCGAATAATCCATGCATTGTTTTCGACCAATAATCAGGAGACCTTTCTACGATTTCTCGCATCATTCTGCAAAAAGGCGTAAAGGATTTGCGATATTCTATATTCTGATAGTCACATGTTGTTTACTTGAAATGCTGATGCTCTCAATTTTTTGGCCATAAGCGGGAGATTTTCTGAGATTTATTCTATCTTTGGTTAAGATATGAGACGTATATGAGCACAAGATAGGATAAAAATAATTTTTTTGTTTCTCCCCCTCATTTTACTCGTTTTATGCATTGTTGCAAAAAGGCATAAAAAGTATGTGTTTTAGCCAAATCCAATTTCGTAAATGTTTCTACAACATTTCATATCTACAAAATACATTCGAAATTGTATGTGAGTCTTGGTCTTGCATATTTCTACTTTATGTGATAAAAAGCCCCTTTAAAGTTAAAGAAAGTCAGAAATCGAAGCGAAAGTTGAGTAACTGCTAAAAGAAGCAGGAGGAGTATGTGGGAGTGGGGGCGAAAAGCTTTGTAGTATTCAAAAAAGTAAAAGTTATGCTCGCTAATGTTCGAGACTTTGCTTTTTCAGTTGAGTGCATACCATATTTCTCTTTTCAATCATAATGGAAAAAGTTGCGACAAACCATGGAATTTTGTGTATAGGTGGTCCCTGGGTTCGAAAATTTCTTTTTTACTGTTGACGAAGTTGTGCGAACTATAGAAAGCTTTGGTAGTAAAGGGGTATACATAGTCGAGAAGAGTCAAGAAAAGGGAGTTCTACAAACTTTTGAACGTTCACAAAGGCAAGACTGGAGTGAATTCA